TTGGAGCAAGACCGGCCTTGACCAGTTGTACATGCTAGAGAGCAAAACAGTCCAACTTTTTTGAAACCACATTTAGCACTACATCAATTTTACAATTACAAAAAATTTTGTTTATCAGTTTTTCCGGCGCAGGTGGGAGTAAAGTGTGAACTGGTTCTAATTTATTATCGACCAACTTCAAACCCCAGTCTTATGGATCTAGCTGATAACCAAGCCACACTTGAACTTGGTAATATACCCGTAAGAAATGTCGATGAGCAGCCGCTGAGGTTGTAGGAAGACAGGCCAAATGCATTTATTTTTTATTTCGAGTATTTCAAACGAACCATACATATCGAAACTTACCTAAGCATGTAATTTTTTAGGAGCTGTTGTTCTGTTTTACCTCTCCTGAAAAATGCGGATGACGTATCACAGCCAGTTATTGCGTGTGAATATAGTAGATGATTTTGACAGATTGCGAAAGTAGATACACTTTTTGATGAATATATTTCCGATTGATGTTAAGATTTTCCAGATTATTTTTTTTTATTGGAGTACGAGTAGTGAGTAATACGAGTAAGTCTATATCTTCACCAACAACAATAGTTGTATTTTTTAAATTGAGTTGCTCTATTACAATTATCATTACATCAGCATCATTATTAGCTTGTTTTACCAGTATATTTTGGGCAGTGAAACTATCTTTCAACATTAAAACAAACCGAGATTTGTTGTAAGTATTTGCAAGTATTTTCAAAATTGGCTTTTTTCATCAAGGTAATCTCCACACAATCACTCCAGTGTTACTCAAACATTTAAATGCCACTTTTCTAGAACGATTCATCTTTTACCTCAAAATAGGCTTAAGTTTCAGCAATAACCTCTTCATTCTAGAGAAATTTCTTACCGGTGACCATTTTTTGAGGTCTGCGAACAGCCAGTAGTCGCTGGGAGCCACATCTGACGAATATGGTATATCAATTCGAAGTTCATTTCATGTAGCTTTGCTATTGTTTTGATTGACTTATGACACGGTGCGTTGTCTTTATGAAACAATTTTTTTTTATTTGCTATATGCGGTCGTTTCTTTACAATGTCGGCCTCCAAACGCTATATAATATTCATTGTTGATGGTATTTCCCTTCTCAAGATATTCGATGAATATTACACCACGAACATACAAAATATCGAGGCCGAAACCATTCCAGCCGATTATTGTGGTTCACGAGGTTCACCATGTTCCATCCATTGTCACATATCAACGCAAAAATTCTGGTTTGTTATGTTTAAATATGGCCAAACAGTGTTCAGAATGATCAAGACGTTCTTGTTTTCGGTCAACAGTAAGATTGCGCGGAACCCACTTTGAACAGAGCTTTCTGATAGTCAAATGCTCATGCAATATGAAGCCAACACTTTCTTTTGATATCTTCACAATTTCAGCTAACGCAACTTCACTTTTCGATCATTCAGAACGACTTTGTGGATTTTTTTTTGTTTTCTGGTGTTACTACCTCATTTGAACGTCCGCTGCGTTCTGCATTATCGGTGTCTCTACGAGCACATTAGAAGTCAGCAAACAAATTTTGTTTCTAATGGATCGGAGTCCTTTTAACACTTTTCAAGCCATTGCTTCTCTTGAACGGTATTTTTTCCAATCAAGAAGCAGTGTAAATTTGAAACACGAAATTGTTATGATCCATTGTTTTGAAATTAATAAAAGTAATGTCACTCTTCGCACAATAACTCACAAACTTATGAGTCAAATATCATGAAATTTCAACAGTTTTCTGTTGAAGGTTAGTAATAACTGGAAAAGCTGTAAATGCGATAAGACTAGCGCTAGCTATGTGTAAGGCCCGAGACTTTTCAGCCCATGTAGTATATCAAATGAAGCATTTTAAAACTTCTCAATGCAGTCATACTGAAAATACCTTATTTTTTAAGTTTCTTGGTGTAAGTATCGATTCGCCTGGTCATATGTTTAGAGCGTTTTCTTCATTAGCATAAAAGCATTCGCTTCATTAGCAAAAAATTCAGACCTGCCCCATTTGAAAAAAATCAATGGAACATATTTGAGGAAGATGGAAAGCCCATTTAGTTATTTACAAAAATGGGTATAGATGAATATGCCTTGGCCTAACTCATGAACCAAACGACTTAATCACGTTGTTGAAAAAATTTCTCAGGAAGAAAATATACATGTACCTCACTTCGGAGTTCTGATAATGTACACAATGTGTGAAAGTGTGTGTGTGAAAGATGTGTGAAAGAAAATACAACACAGTTGAATTTTAATATCAAAGACCAATTTCTTGGAGATTTTTATATCCTCTCAGAAGGGTTTTTTTCATAGTCTTTGAAAGCCAATTCTACAAATTTCTATTCGAAATATTCATATCCACTCAGTATTATTTATCATTTTTGTTTTCCTTGATTATATACACAACTACTCGTATTTGATAGTAGTTCTGATTTCTTGAGCTTTCTTGTCAATTTGCAGTTTTATTTGAAATCGTTTCAATATTTTTGATACACCATTCTTCACCAATATACGCTGTCTCTTCAAAAAATAAAGCAAATTTTCATTTTTCTCAGAACCTAGGTATAGGTAGTTGTGAAGGATAAACATTTCGAGATTCACTTTCGAAATATTTTTAATTTCCTTGTACGAATGTATCTCTCCTTGATACAGTCTTCAGACACGGTTTGATATCTGTTAGAGTATTGGTACATGGGATGTTTATTGATACAGTCTTCAGACACGGTTTGATATCTGTTAGAGTATTGGTACATGGGATGTTTATTTTCCGCTTAGGGCTTTGTTCATGAGATGGTGCTGTTACCAGTTAACAATCTTTCACTTAGACGATACTAGTTATGAATGACTTGAGGAATCGAATAATTGACAATTGCAATGACATAAGGAATACTCCAGATATTTTTGAACGTGTCAGACAATCAATGACAGATCTATTACTGTCGTGTATTTTATTAGAAAGTGGACATTTTGCTCATTCACTTCAAGGTCGAAATTGTTAATTATTTACTTTTGGTTTCTATTTTATGTTGTCCATGGATACTTTTTAGAAGTGATTTTTTTTCGCGAAAATGAAGCTTGATATAGAGAAAACATAACACAAAAGTTGTATTTTCAGTTGCCTAATATAACAAAATCAAAAACTACAAAAAATTCAGTGGCCTTCTTTTTTTCTCAACATTGTTGACTTTGGTGCCCACTGAGATGCCACAGGACTTAATAATTTCAATCTGCTTCGGGCTTAATAAGCGCCACCTCACTTCAAACAACTGCAGCAAATTTCCACCAAATCGGTGAAAGGATATTCACGATATTTCATAAATACAGTTTTTTTCTAATTCAACGCCCTTTATCTTATAAAGGAAGCAACTTCGGGCATATGTCCATGTGAACTTTTTCTCCTAAAATGACATAACGAATCACCCTCTGAAGTTTCGTAACATAGTTACTACCCAACCAGCAAAGTTGTTTCATAATTTCATGGTGCTGCAACAGTTTTATTTTGTTGGTATTTTATAATTACTTCCAAAATGCTAATTGATTATATTTGAGGAGACGTGAACACAATACCATTGAAGACAATAAAAGTGGTTTATAAATTTGTCATGGAAACGTTCATAAAATAAAATTAAAAATCCGTTATAAAATAGTCACGAAATTATGTTTTTACAATTAACTTATAAAACATATTTTCCTGTAAAAGTAAATTGATTTGTAGCAGTTTTATAGCACTTTTCTGTGAGGCTTTTATGCTCTTTATAAAACTACTTCAAGATTATTTTATAACTGCTTTCTGTAGCTTCAATGAAATTATTTTATTGGAATGCTCTCAAACACAATTTTGATTTCATTATCATATTGTTTCTTTAATGATAATTTCCCAACTATTTCATAGTATGGTATATTGACTACAATTCCAAAACAATAATATAACTGTTCCGCTAATATTTATTTGCTGTCGCCAAGAATAAAATGCAACATTCAAGAAGAACCAGCTGACATTGATTTTAGAGGTCGTGTAATGAAGTATAATTTGAGGGTTTTATTTGACTAGCGTCCCAATAAATATATACATAATAACGTCGTGTCATATTGGTCATTGGAAAAAAATTAAGAAAAGTATCTCGTTTCAGACTAAGACTCACGTTACCTAATGCTTCAATGTTGTTCTTGCTAAAAACAGGAAAAGGTTGTTGATAATTAAAATCCGTCGATTTAAGTGGAGCACCCTGTTTATATACACTCAAATCAGTAGCTCAACACTTCTTCGAAATTCAGCCCTTATAATGGATGGAAGAAGCTTCTTAGCCAAAACATCCCGACAGATAATATTCATCCAAACAATACGTGAGAAATCCTGTCTTCATTTTTATAGAAATCTATAACTTTAAAAGAAGTCCGACTCTGCCGCAATACGATCACTCCTAGAACTAAGTGTTTCTTAACAGTTTTATAGTGGTAACAAAGAAGCTGAAACACATTAAAACTCTTGCTAATGATACCAAATTATTTTATAGAACGACGGCATTTTAAAATTATAGCAATTCGTAATACTCCCATTAGATGAGTTGAAAATATGAATTAGTGAGTGATATTTACAGATGAAAAGTATATAAATATTATATAACATTGAAAATATTTCTGGAACAAATTCAGTTTTATAATTTGTTTCTCCGAAACGTTTTCACAACCACAATGAAATATTAAATTGCTAGTTGGGTAAACACTCTGTATACAACAATTTTCAGAGAGAACCATCCTATTCATCTATAACGTGTATTTCAACAATGGATAAAAAGCTTTGAGAAAATTCAATCATATATTCGGAATAGTCGAATCGTTTTTAGGGATGAAAAATTGAATGCTTTTCAATAAAGTTTCTATTGAGTTGATGCAACAAGTGTACGAACTGTGTTGTTTTCTTTATCAATACCGTGGTCAAAGAGGATTTGGTGGGGAAGGAGTAAAAAACAAAGAATAACAACTAGTGTGCTGTATACATACACTTAGTTACATTACACTAAAATCTAATTCAGAAAGAATCAGTACATTGATTTATGGTTTCACAGTTATTAACATTATCATTATAATTTGACAAAATATACTTGATAAATATAGCATAGAACATTTCGTCATCCTTCTTCTTATTAAAATACTATAATCATTATGGAATAGTAAGTAGATGGGAGGAGTAAAATTAACAACTAGTTATTTATACTCCTCAGGTAGATTGTGTCGATAAAATCTCATTCAAATATTAATTTTGCAACAGTTCAGTCTGGAACATACAAGTTATATAAATATTCAATATATATTTCTCTTTTAAGCGTCACCAGTAACACTTGTGTAAAACATTTTCATCGATATTTTTGAGAGGCTGGATATCAAAAACGTCGATCAAATGAATTATAACGAGTATGTTATACAAAAAATATTTTCTTTAACGCAGGTTTTTTATAACGAGGATAAAACAAAAATAAATATAGTTCACAGATATGATTCAATGGAGTAAACTATATAGGTATGTACAGAGAGGAAAATTGGCTGACTCACGTTAAAGAATCTCTTGAATACTTCATATATGTTATAACGAAAGTATATTCAACGAACATCAATAAATTTGGATAACATTTCTTTCGATAGAAGAAACCTCTTGGATAACTTATAGATATGTAGCAAGGTAAAATAAAGGTACACAAATTTGAGTCCGTGATGTAAGAACCCGAAGAACCTCCAATGGAACTAGATTATTGGACGTTACTTTTTGGTTTTTGCATTAAACTACTTCTCTTTCTCTTGAGCCTGGGCGGGATTTGGTTGTGGGGGTAGTGCCTTGAGAATAGCGTGGACTTCTTCAGCTACCGCAGTCAAGACAAACTCGAACTGCTGTTTCGTAGCTACCATTTTAGGACGTTGGTCTCGAAGATGTTCTAAAGTTGCAGCAATATCGATTTCCTTGGCACCTTTAGCCATTCGGCTGAGAACCATATCGATCAGACAATAAGTACCAGCCCTACCTGCACCATCGCTGCAGTGAACTACTATGGGGCAAGATCTTCCACGGTACGATTTGTTCACCTTCCTCCTACAAAAAATAATTACCATTGTTTTCGGAGATATAAAATGCTGCAAGTATTGAAGTGAGTGTAATTGTTGATTAGAAGCACACTTGTGTGAAAAGCAATCTACTAAATTTCCTCAGATAGATACCTACTGTTTTATTTAGCTTTGCTTCAATTTTTTACTTGTTTCATTTTTTATATTCCGTTTGAATCTATCAGTTATTGCCAGAAGCCATGAAAAAATGTTATGTATAGTCACTTTAGACTGAGCAAATTTTGATAAAACTCTGATACTTCAACTGGATCAAAAAAAAATTCAAGTTTGTAAAGCAACGAAAATACTTCAAATAAAAAGTTGTTTGTTCAACTCAATGGAGAAGTGTGAAATATAGAATTTTTTCTGCGATTGTTTGTACATTGTGTTTGAAAAAACGTAATAATTTTTTTATATTCTTACATCATTTTTAATAATTATTCTATATACTTGTTTCCTTATAACAGTCAGTTAGTTTGGCGCATGTTTGACAATACAGTCGATCATCACCTTTTAAAAATTTCGTTTTCAGATGATTTAACAATAAACTTTGCACGGACTGGCTATTAGTCGTATTAGGAAACGCAAGATAAAGTTCCAGAAATTCACATACGATTTTGCTACCTCTTGAACATTTACTACAAAGTAAACAAGTGAGGATTTTTCCAGCAAAAGATTCATAAACACAAGACGAGTTACACTGTACGGAATCATTCAATCCAGAGCGGTCAGGAGTATTGATTCTGCTATTGTTTTGCCCACGAAGAGTATTCAACAAGAACCCAAGAATTCAGAACAATCCTCTTGTTGTCCTAAGTAATGTTACTTCACGACTTTCAATTGTTAGTATCTACAATCGTCTTTGCGTGATTACTGGACTTATGCCTCCGAAACATGGCTATTTATAGATCATTTGAGTGCTTTCACCTATCCCCTCTTCCCCCTACGGCTTAATCGGTTTCAGCGGGAGTTACCCGCTTTCCGCTCGATTATAGAATTCCATATGCTGCGTATTTCTACGCTAGCTTGGCTAAATGCGTTATCGGACAACATATATGCGACTTCTTTGAATTTTCTTCTAAACCTGTGTTCCTCCTTGTGGATGATTTCAGCTTGAGACCACTCAATGTTATGTTGATGAGTCCAAACATGCTCTGCTATTCCTTTTTTGCTGATGTCTCGCTGTGTGTGTTCCTTGTGCTCGGCAATGCGAACTCTCAATAGACTCCGCGTTTGGTGGCCTGGTTTTCGTAAGGCTGCTATGGATAATGTTCCCAGATCTGAAGCAGGTTCTGATGTTATACTTATACTTGGACCCAATTCTTTTTTTCCTTTTCGACAATCATCTTATGTAGGGAAGTACAAATACTTGTTGTGACGGCTTCTCTTCTTTGTGAGGCTCTTGTTGTCTTTTATCCAAAATCTGTTTCACCATCACTTTGGAGTAACCATTCCGTCGTAGGTAATTTTTGATGATGCCTAGTTTCTTCTCGAGACCTTCCTATGTACTACAGAGACCGAAAGTATGGTCTACTACAGTCTTGATGAATCCTCTCTTAGTCGATTGATGGTGGTTGCATTGCTCGTTCAGATACTGTCTCGTCTGAGTGTGTTTTCGATATACAGATGTTTCAAATTTAGTGTCGGTCCTCGTAACCAATGCGTCTAATAATGGACTTCCTTCTCCATTGTGAAAGTGATGGAAGGTCTTACGTTGTTGATGTGCTCCAGGAAGGTGTCTAGTTCTGCATTCCCATGGTTCCATATTATGAAGATGTCGTCAATGTATCTCAACCAGATTCGGGGCTTCTAGTGGGCTTCTTCAATGGCCAGAGTTTCAAACCACTCCATATATATGTTGGCTATTACCAGTGCCGGTTTCTCGTCAGTCCCTCATCTTGCGTAAAGAATTCCTCATTTAGTTGGAAATAGCAGTTTCGTAAACAACATCCTCATGGAATCACTAGGATGCTGCTATTTCCAAACGAAGGACGAATTCTTTAAGCAAGATGAGAGACTGCCAATGAGATCGCCAGTTTCACTGGTTATAGCCAACATATATATGGAGTGGTTTGAAACTCTGGCCATTGAAGAAACCCACAAGAAGCCCCGAGTCTGGTTGAGATACGTTATTGTTTGTATTATATTTCATTGTAATTTCACTTTTTATTGCTTAATGTGTTCAAGAAACACTTTATCGTGAGATTTTCAATAAACGATTTCACAAAAACGCAACACGTGTTTCGCCATACAACTTCTTCGAGCGTGGCTTTATTCAGTGAAATCTAGTGAGAATCTCACAATGAAATGTTCCTTGAATACATTATTTATGGATTTTCATCAAATATCGACCAATTCCATCAATTTTTTACTTAATATAGTTGTTACTTTTTCAACTAATCTCTTTAATTTTATTGATTCTTTCAGAGATTTTAAATCATTTTATATCATATTAGACAATGAAAGTCTGAACTAATGAAATGTACCATGAAACATTGTCAACCACCTTCAAACAAATCAGTTCCATTGCTGAGGAAAGTTTGGATTGCTGTGTACATTTTCTGATTTGCTCAGTTGAAAATCGTCAGTTTTCATTGGTTTATCTCGAGAGTAAATTGTTTGGAAAAAAAATTGATCTGTATTTTGAATCCCTTTTATTCGCTCTTTTCATCAAATTGAACAAAACCCACAGAAACTTTGAAGGACAAAATGAAAACAGTTATCAACATAATTTCAATGGTGATTTTTCAACATGAAATAGTGGCTTCTGTTGTACATTGAATTAAAAAGTCAATAATCTATCTGGAGAAGAAATCGAGAAACAAATAAGAATGTAGAAAGTCATGAATCCGTATTAGGGTTTATGATATGCCAATCTGAATAACCACTCAAATCTAAAAGCTTCCCAACAATTTCAACAGGAAAGAATAAGGTATACGGGTTAACAGAACGTGGTATCCAGTCCTCATAAAGGTCAGAAATGAACTAGAACACAACTCCGATTTACATCCCACCAGTAGCAAACCTGTTAATAACGTGGCCCAAGCAGAACGACCTAATAACAGTGCGAGCTAATCAGAACGAAGCAACGACCAATCAGGGGTGAGCATTTGCATAGACATTCCGCCATTCATTGCTCCCACCATTGTCAGCTCACCGCTTTTTCCACCATAACCCTCGCAGCCCTCTCAAAATATAAATACGATTGAAAACGTTGCTCGCCAGTCATTTGTTGCTGAGACTTCAAGGCATAACCTTGTCACTTAACGCATATACCACTGATATTTTCCGCCGCAGTGGCAGACAAACCGTTTGGTACTTCAGGTTCCATTCACCACGGCCTACTAGTTCATATTTTTTCGTCTTCAATTGAATCATTTCATTTGATATCCATATCATGGTGGTGCATAAAAAACAAAGTCCATCAACTTTGGGAGACCACCATATTGGATTGAGAGTGATGTCATTCAATTCTCCATATTGTTTTCAGCAAAACCCTTTCATTTGATACCTATATGAAGTAGTCCGTCGTCTTAAGCAGCCTTAAGCGCCGTCTTTCCAGAAAACTGCCATATTAGATGTAACATGACGTCACCTCGTCATTCATACTAAACGTGTTTTAGCTCAATCTGTTGATACATGCATACATACATACATACCAACATTGCAAGTTAAACACATGCTCGTAATAAAAAGTACTATACGCGTTGATTTCTAAACTCTCAGTTAATTTATACAGTGTGTAAAATCCAAATGGAATAAATTCATTATTTCTGTTACAGTACATATTTTAACAAAATCCTGAAACACGTCAAATTTGAATTATAATTCAACACACTTCAACAGAAAAATGCTCCCCCTTCCTTCAACCGCCGTCGAATGACAGGTACACTCCCCATTTTTTTAAATAGGAAGTATAGGCTTGTGATATATCGTTTGAAAGGTCTCTTCATTCTCTATTCAAAAATGCTATCGCTTTCAAGTTTTTGCAACAATTAAGATAAAAAAATTAAAATCAAGACTTATTGCAATATACTCACTTATTTCATGTTGAGGTAATGATGATAAGAAAGTAAGCAAAAATCCTAGCAATGTTTTTTTCAGATGGTATCCTTTAAAAAACTGTAAATAATTTCCGTGGCAACGTTAGTTTGAAACGCCTACTCAACTTATTTTGTATGTTAGAACATTAGTTGTCTGTAATTTAATTTAAGTTTAAAGTTCGTTAACTTCAAGTCTGACAAATGGTTAGATTAACGGAAATGCATAAAATAGCAGTTTTACAAATGATTGGTTACGGAGGTGAAACCAGAACACAACAGGAAGTAGATCGCCTATTTCATGAGAAATTTCTTAATTTACCGCCCATATCTCAAGGAAAAATAAGCAAAATAGAGAAGCAATTCCGCGAGCTTGGTCATGTGGGGCAGATAAAAAAAGCAGTTGCCTATGCAATGATATGTTAAATAGTGTTAGAAGAGAGTTTAATTTGAGATTAGGATGTTTCCAAGATGTTCGCGGTGAAAATTTTGAACATCTACTTCGTTAACATTCATAGTACTTTTTTTTATTCTACATTGGCATTTCATTTTAGTTTTTGAGAGTATTTTATCGAATTACGGTAACCACATGGTTTCAATTAATTTTATCTTAATTGTTGCAATAATAATTTTGAAAAGAAAATGAAGAGACCTTTCAAACGATGTATCACAAACTTCTACTTCCCATTTAAAAAATAGGGGGTTGTACCCGTCATTCGAAGGAGGTTGAAGGTAGGGGTGGCATTTTTACGTTGAAAAATGTCAAATTACAATTTTCATTTGACGTATTTCCGGATTTTTTTCAAATATGAACAATAACCGAAATAATGAATTTATTCCATTTGACTTTTACACACTGTATAGCTGAAAGCTAGGACTGAAAACTCTGGCGTAGAATACATCCCAAACACCAGATCTGCAACAATCTTCTAGATGCGCATTTCAATAACCGAGTTGTCATTTTTAGGTGAACATTTTATCTAGGTCTAATATTTTTTACTTTACTTTTCTCAAACTTGTGCAAATGTTTGAATATAAATTATATATATTGAATGTTTGCATACCTGAATTCCAACAACGATTTGGTGGATGACGGTACTCCGGTTTCTGGCCAAGACAGGAAGTGGAATTGAGTGACAGTTCTAGTTTCGCCAGTTCGTATATTCTTCAGGTAGAATGATCTCACCAAATAATCGTCGCACCAAATGTGTTCGCTCACTAGATGTACTTCATATATATGGTATAGTTCAGATCCTTCTTCAGGCCAGTAACGGTGGCACATCGCTGTACCTCCTTCGGTTAACCTTACAAAAAAACTTCCTGTCAGTTATAATTTTTGGTAATGATATTACTGTTACCACAAGGTGGAGTATTGAGTGCCTTGAGAAAATGTGAGTAGTGCACAAACAGTTGGAATTCTGTATAAGATTATTCAACAAATATATTCTTGAAGTGGAGATGGAATCACCATGTTTAATTTTTTCTTGAAGCTGATTATGATAGCGTATATGAAAAAGATTTCGTCATTTAAGTGTGATTCTTTCAAGTAAAAATACATATGCATTTTCTACTTCCATTTTGAGAATAAAAGTCACAGAAAAATTGAACAATTTGTTCTCCAAAAATAATCAATTTTAGATCTGCAGTAATAACATTAAGATATATGTTTGTCAGGAATATTTCAGGCAAGATTCCAGTCTGAACTTTTTGTAGTGGTTTTACTCGTAAGTAGGGCGCATATGAAAATCATTGTTGATTTGATTTAGTAACTCGGTTTTTGTCAAACTTGGAAAGGGGGTGTTTTCGTGACAAAGTATGTGAAATGAAAGTTTTTCACATTTCTATATCACTGAGACACTGGACAACGAGAATTTCCAAATTGAGATGATAATTTGGAGTTACATACGATTAGGACATTTGTGTAAATGCAATTGCTTCCTCAAAACGGATATTGAATCAATTAGGAGAATGATTCAGGTACAAAAAAATTGATTGGTAGCCAACATTATGACAAAACAGTATTTTTATGATTACCAGAAGAAGTGATCATTGTAGTGCGTTTTCAAGACGTCCTGTTCTTCTACAGTAATATAATATCAAGTATGTACAGAAAACAAAAATTTGTGAGATCGATAAAGCATAGACGTTTGTTCATAAGATGTAACATTTTGGGAACAGTGGATTTCTGCAGTTATAATGCCCAAAAAACTATTCTCAAAATAAAAGGATTCAAAAAATTGCGCGCGTCTGAAGTAGAACTGAAAAAAGCCGTAGGAGAGTGACTTTGATGCTTCTGTGATGTTAAGAAAAAAAGTTGAAGCAATTTCGACTGTTGTTCTTTCTGCCAATCTGCTCGATTTGAAAGATTGGAGACTTATAATCCAGTATATTTCATAATCTACAAATCGAAAACCCCTTCATGATATATATTTTCTGAGATATATTGCTTTGTCCATGCATGTGTTAATATGTGAAAATTACTCCCTAAAACACTAGTTATATAATTCATTTTTACTTTTCCGATATCTAAGGTACCATCCAACGTTAATATCTCTATACCTATATTCGGTTTTCTGATTGGTACTTTCAAAGGATTATTCTTCTTAAATCCAAATCTTTCTTTGGCTCTGCAAACCACTTACCCAAGCGTAGAATAAATTCGCTCACCTTGTCAACATCACAATTACAACAGCTCCTTGTTCCCAGATCAACTGCCAGAAATCGGGTGCGGTATGAGGTAATGGTCCTTGAGTAGCTATATAGGCCGGATTTCTCGGATCGTGATCCGTTATACTGGAAGCGTTTATGTAGTCCGATCCGTTGAGGTTCGAGAGTTCATTGAGAACTACTCGAGCGTGATCGTAAGGAACAACTTCTTGGTAACGATTCTTTTCCTTGTTTTCTTTCTTTTTAGCGTTATTCGATTCTGACGGCTCAGCGACATAAGCACACAACGCCACCCATTCTTGTTCCAGACGATCTTTGTTTTTTAGATGGTCCTCCATGTAGCTCAAAACCATATGACCTAGATGAAGTGGAAATTCAGTTCAATTTAACGATCACATAAATCAAATATTTTGAATAAGAGACCCAAACTAGAGAAAAAATGTTCATGTTCACTAAATGATAGTTTCAGTCATTTTCTGGTGATGCTAACTCGGATAGCGAAAAGCGCGTCGAAAAACTAGTTCTATTCTTAGTAAGAAGTATTTTCAAAGATTCATTCCACACCACAGTTTCCAATTCTGCCTCGTTATCTCAAGGGATTCAAGCGGTAGATATTTTGATGTTTGCAACTGAAGCAATCCAATAAATTACCGGCTAATGGAATTCATTGACTTCCTAGCTGAATCTGAAGAAGTTCAAATTTGGAGATCTTGGGGACCGCATGAAACGTTTTCTCCTTACAAAATAATGCCTATCTAGATTGTCATTTATACATAATGACTTCATGAATTCATGACCGCAAATTACGGCCATATATTATTCTTATGGAGCTAGTGTGCCCTTTTCTAAAAAGATAAGGTAGATTCTGGTTCATTCCAAAAGCCTCCGGCTGAAGTAGGTAATCCGCCGACCACTGATCGGGTGGAATTCTTCTGGAGGGATATTTATGATCATCATCAACCACTCAATCTAGACACTCCAGCCATAGCAGAGTTCGAAGCTTTCTGTGGAGGGCTTGGACATCCTGAGCCCAACGAACTACCCAGCCCGGTGATGTTCGAAGAGCCCCTGTTGTTTCTAAGAACTTTCCTGCTTTTGGCTAGATGGGCCGAATATCTATTGATGTAAAAACTATCAACCACCCACCACCATCGGGTCAGATCAGCAGATTCCGGATTGGTTTGTCGAGGAGCGAACCGTTCTTATTCCCAAGAGCGGAGATTTATCGATCCCTAGGAATTACAGATCAAGAACATGCTAGAATTCGTATTATGAGTTGTTTACGAATACTATCCGCAGCGACAGCTGATTAACGAAAAAACAGATTTAAACAGGATATAAGAGCAGAGAGGGTCAAAGAGCGGAGTTGCTGGCTATAAGGGGAACCTGCTCATCGATTCAATACATTATACTCGTGAGCGTAACCTCTATATGGCTCAAATCGATAACCGCCAGAGCTCATCCTGAATTTGCTCAAATGCCTTACGGTACCCATCAAAATAGTGAGATGTAGTAGTGTAATAGACTTGGGAGGAGTTGTAAAAACTCGACGTTAGAAACCCTGAAAACGACACATCTCGATAAGAGTTTGCATCCCAAATCGCCCGTTTCACGGTTGTTTTTCCACCGATAACGAGGAGGCCGTAGACTTTTTGAGTTTTGAGTGTCTACACAACATAATAGTACTGTATGGAGGCTGTAAAGTCATCAGGAGTTGGATTCGCTTCTCTGCATGGTCCGGATCATGGCATTTCTCTTCAGGGAGCTGCCCAAGTTGCAGATGAACTTGGTTTCTTTTCGACACTGAACGAGATGATCACAACTCTGTCACTGAGTTGAAACCCGTTCAGCAAAAGGCCCACATAAAGACAGCAGAGACACTTTGCTCCTGCGGCAACGCGAGGATAAACCAGTGCATGGGGCCCACTCGACCTTGGTTTTCTCAGGTCGAGTGGGCTGAAGTTCGTTAACTGAGGAGTTAATCATGGCCTGCCACCATGGTGTCCATAACATTTTAGTGTCAGCAGCCACTAGTCGAAGTTTATGTGAGGATTTATTGCAAATAGTTTTTCTTTGATGGAGTCATTTTCTACATTAACAACTGTCAACAGCAATTGCCTACACATACCTCCAATTTTTTGTCTCAGTTTGTACAACAAACACTCATGAATGGATCCAAAATATTTATACTCGAGTCAAAATATTTGTTCGAGTCTGCAGCTTGTTGGGTTACTTGTATGGTACGCTCTAAGCGAGTGTGTAGTATACTACTTTGTACTGAGAAAAGCTCAATAGAAGCATTCATTATTAATAATTTTCGATCACCAGCTAACTTACTCTATCAGTTCAAATATTCAGGTGTGTACCTGTTGATATATCCATATTGTGCAATGCTGGTTCTTCGCTCCATGAAGATGTGCTGGATCTACTGGAAGGACTCTGTTCAGATTCTCTTGACAAGGAAGTTATTCTACCATGAACGGTTTCTCCAGCGGGTTGTCCCTTGGTTGCCATTCTCGATCTACATAGGTCCTGATAATCTTTGCTGGCTTCCGTATCTGGTCTGGAGAGACCCTGAAGCTTTTCACGTGATTTAATATGGCGCCTTATGAAAATCAATACAACAGATGCTACAATCATAGCAGCGAGAACTCCGCAGACCATGAAGAAGACTATGTAGAACTGATTTTCGTCAGGAAGGGGAGTGAAAACTACTGAATGGCCTTTCTCCTGCAAGACACATAAAACAGTTAATAAATTCACTAATCAATTCCATTTCGTTTTCAACTGCTCAAGACATGTTGAGCTGAAGCAATATACAGGGTGTTCCAACGAAAACTTGATCCCCTGTAAGTCAGAAACGGACGAGTAATCGAAAATTTCAAAGAATACGTCAATGTTTATTTCTAGGGGGACTAATTCTGATATGGAAATCATATCCGAAACTTCACCCCCCTGCGGTCAGAAAGTACACCCCCCTATTTTTTCGATGGCATGGAGGGTCGAGTGGTACATCATTTGTAAGGTATTTTGTCCCTCTATTAATTCTATATTTTTTTGAGAAATAGGTTCATTCGTTATTGAGAAATTGAATGTTGAACTTTTCAGAAAATTCGCTGTCGCTCATTTTATTGAGAAAATCAACAAAAGTTATATCAATGACAACGCAATCAATGGATGAAGTGTTCAAAATGACCTCCAATAATACAGTCTACTTTCGAAAGCGTTCCTTACAGAAATCGGCATTCCCGAACAATTATCTGTCTCAGGTCTTCTAGATTTGTAGAATTTTTTTTATTAGTAGTAAATGTTTTGAAGTGGACGACACTGTTAGTTTTTTCTGTACTGGTAATTTTTGTTGAATCTAGTTGTCGCAGAAGTGACAGTTGGCTACTGTCACTTCTTCACGAATCATTATTCAGTCATCCTTGATCACTTTGTTCCAACATGGTTCATTCTACTGAAGAACGAATAGAAATTGTTGCAACCTATTATCGAAATAATGAATGTGCTCTAAAGTGCTACAATACGAATCATCCCTACCACGACTACAACGTGAGCCATCAATACGTTGAATAGTTAATGGATGAGTTTCGAACTTAAGGTTCTGTTCACAACACAGTAAACATGAAGTATCCCGTCCTGTCAGAAATGACGGAGTTGAAGTTGTAGTTATAGAACATGTACAAATGGATAATCGACAATCTATCAAACAAGTAGGTAGAGGGTCTGGTGTATCAGCTACCAGTGGTTTTTCGGATTTTGAAAGCCTAAAAATTCCATCCTTTCAAAATAACGCTAGTTCAGGAATTAAACGAAGATGATCCTGATCGTCGACTTTTGTGAGATGTTCATCGAGGAATTGACCAATAACCCAAACCTATTATACAATACATATTTTCAGACGAAAGTTCTTTCATGTTAAATGGTGAAGTAAATAGACATAATTGTCGTTACTGGAGCGATGTGAATCCTTATTTGGTGATGGAAAGACATTCACAAACTCCACAAAATTGAATGTCTGGGCCGGCATTCTTGGTAGGTAGGTAATCATATTGTTGGGCCATTCTTAATTGAAGGTAATCTCAATGGAGACACATACTCAAATCTATTACAAGACTGTGTAGATCCTATGATTACACAAATTTCAGAAAATGATGACAATTTAGTAGAAAATGAAATAACATTCAAGCAGGATGGTGCATCTCCACATTTTGATGTTCGGGTGAGGCAGTTGTTGGACGAACGTTTTCCAATGCGTTGGATCAGCAGAAGGGGTCCAGTGGAGTGGTCAACGAGATCACCTGATCTCACACCGATGGACTTCTTTTCCCAAGGGCGGAGATTTATCGAT